AGTAATCATAGCAGACTGTCGAGTTTCAGTGAATAATTACATACAGAAAGTCGTATGTTTTGAACTTACACTGCAGTAATCATAGCAGACTGTCGAGTTTCAGTGAATAATTACATACAGAAAGTCGTATGTTTTGAACTTACACTGCAGTAATCATAGCAGACTGTCCAGTTTCAATGAATAATTACATACAGAAAGTCGTATGTTTTGAACTTACACTGCAGTAATCATAGCAGATCCCAGGTAGACTGCTATTATTCATCATTAATAAATATTTAGCAGTGTAAATATCCCAGGTAGACTGCTATTATTCATCATTAATAAATTATTTAGCAGTGTAAATATCCCAGGTAGGCTGCTATTATTCAACATCTTTACATGATGATCATACCGTACGCTATAGTGTAAAAGGTCAGGTGGGTCTTGGTAGACTACGGAAGACCACACACTATAGTTGCACCAATCATTGTGTTGGTTTTAGTTCTGAGCTACGTAGGTAGCTTGCTTTGATCAAAAGCTAATGAAAATGAAAAATTTATATGGATATTCGGGTTGTTCGAAAAAAAATAAAAATAAAATTTCACGCAAATACGCTTGTAACAAAGAAAGAATATTCAAAACTCCAGAAAGGTTTGAAATTTGGACTTGGCTTATGAGACCACATTTAGAGTTGATTTCCAAATCTGAAAACATATTATCCTTAATGGTAAAATCTAGATGGACAGATATATTTTTAAAGGTTGTAATTTTTGCCATCCGAAGTTCAGTTCCCTTGCTCTATTTCTGTCTGTATGTAACTGGTAATCAAAATGTATTTACAAGCAGTGAGGTCCTCCTAACTTGTAGTATAAATGTGTCTATTAACTTATTGTAACATCTTGAAAAACTAAGAAATCACTATTTTGGTGCATTTTTAAATTTTCCCATAGGTATTCTACTGTTCTGCATGGTTTCCTCCTTGAAAGTAAACATTAATTAATATTTAAGTTGCCAAAGATTCTTTATGGAGACCTTAATTCCATTCATACTGATCTGTAACGATTACAATTTTTGTCAAATTATTCTCTGCAGATTGTTTTTCTTCCAACCTCAAAATTTTTATCAAAAAAATTAATTATAGTAAACGTGGTTTTGTTCTTCAGCTCTTTCAAAATGCTGCAGATTTTACAGAAATCCTGGAAAAACAGCTTAAAAGCCAAATCTTTCAAAATTGCTGAGGTTAAGTCGGACTTGGGTCATCTTCGACTTGTACAAAATCCTAACACCAAAAATGCTTACATAGGATTCCATAAATCATTTAGAAGGTACTAATGTTTTAACTTGTATCAATTCATTAGTACTGAACCTTAAGCAATACAGGAAACTCCAACTTTCAACTTAAAGCTTGCTTAGTAATTTTACCTAGTGTAGAGTTAAAATACCAAAGTAATTCAGTCTTTATCATAACAGAAAATTTATTTATTTATACACATAAAACTTCATATATTTTTTATTTCAAATTGTATGATGAAAAAATACATGACACAATATAAGAGTCTGCCAGTTATTTTGTGTAATAAAATGTTTTGTTTTTACAAACTGAGTTTCCACAGGGCTCATAAAAAACGTTGTAACGATCATGAAGATCATTACTATCTAATTGACCTTGTACAGTCTCTTCTGTCTGAAGTAGCTTGGGGCAGCTTCTAAAAGCCAATCAGGGTCAACGATGCTAAGATATCTACAAAAAAAAAACAATTAATAAATATTAGAAGCTAATAAACTTATATCTCAGTGAGTTATACAGTCTCGTACCTGGGTTTATTTAATCTAATTTAAAGGCTAGTAGTATTAGTCCAATCTACCCCAAACCGATATGCAGAATTATATGGTCAGTAGTAACACATGTGTGTTCCTTACTGAATTGTTCTGCTGGAATTAGCCATTGTAACAACTAGTTTAAACAATCTTTTAACACAGGAACCTTTTGCTGAAGAATAAAAGTATTCCTAAAATTATAATTTTTTATGGATGAAAAATCTTAAAAAGGATGCAGTTTCTATGCTAGAAAATTAACTGTTATTACCAATACACAGGTAACTAATGACAGTAATGCATTTATTTGCAACAGAGCAGCAACTGCTTCAACAAAGAAACCAATACTGTGATCAAAAACAATGTATGAAACAAGCTAATCACTATTTAGAAACAAAATTATAGCTACATGTTCCCTTAAAGGTTAAATCACACACTCATTACACACTTAACATTCATATCAGCTGAGCACACAATACCAGTCAACAGGCCCAAGTAATACATGTACATTTTAATTAATTACTACAAAAACATCAACAAATAAATACCACCAGTCCAGGAGTACTTGGAGTATATTAGAGATTTCTTGAAAAAAAAATCCATCTAAAGATTTTCTGTTACATAGAAAATTTAATGATGATTGCTACGCTAATACTGAAAGGTTTAGATACAAAAAAAAAATCTGAAGGAAAACTTTTTTGCAAGTTTCTAATTTCAATTCGATAATATGATTATACTGTTGCTGTTATATTTAATGTTAATATTCATAGAAATGTCTGTAAAATCAACTAATGGTGAATAAACTGGCGGTCTGTTGTGACCTACCCAAACCAAGAAATACCGAAAACGTTTCCCAATCGCCTTAGGAAAAACACAACAGATTACGAGAAACGGGTCAACGTCTCACCTTGTGCAAGCCCATCACGTCTGACTATAGAGCCCTTGAACGGATCTGCCAGCGGGCAAGTTCCGGGTAGGCAAGATGACGTTCTGCTCGCGGTGAATAGGTCAAAAGTTTAGTTGTATAAGCAGGAGCAATAAAAAAAAAGTAAACAACCCACGGGAGTCCGTACCATTGGAATGTATACATTTCAAACAAAATGAACACACTTCCAACTAATCACGAGATGTTACAGCAAATACACAGTAAACCTTACTTAAAAAGTTTTAAAACATAACTGATTACTAAGACGAATAATTTATATCCATTATTTTGGATATTCGAGCAAAGCTACAGAGGGGATACCTGCTCTAGCCGTTCCTAATTTTGAGCAGACAGAGGGAATGCAACAAGTCAACAGCACCCACCGCCTTTTCTAGAGCTACTCTAATCGTATAGTGGGATTTGACCGTCACTTCTCATAAAGCACCCTCTCCAACGGCCCCAAAGTGCGGAGCGCGATTTGAACCGTTGACCGTCAGATTCACAGCCCGGTACGCTAATTTTACTTTTGGCACGAAATCGTCTTAAAATCGATGTAGACGCTGATTCATCAATAATTACAATTAAACAAATGTCTATAATAAAGAGCTGGAATACACTATTACACTTCTCTACTCACTACATTACTTTTATGAAAAAAAAATTATAGCGTAATTTGAAAATAAAATAATTTTATTTAATATTGTTACATTTTGTTAGTTAGTATTATCCTTTAAGTATCACAGTATATAAATAGCAACCGTTAACTATTATAATACTTACATAGCAACGATTAATTATCACAATATAAATATAATAACACGTAACTTTAAATAACACATTTACATAGCAACCAGTAACTACCTATACACACTGATCACTCAGCACAACTTCAAAACATATGTAAATGAAATTATAAAGAGCACTTAGTGAAAGATGGGAGTCTTTCATACTAAACAGTGCATAGAAACAATAGGTCTGAATAATTTCGATAAATCCGAGTTGTTTAAACGAACAAATATTGATGTTACGAAATCAAATCAAATCAATGAACAGACTAATTTTAATTCGGTTGGTACAATAATTATAAAGTGGAATTAATGTGAACCGATCGTATATATATATATATATATATATATATATTTAATTAATGATGTTTTAGACTGATGGTGAAGCATTGCAAAAGAAGAGCCCCGTTTTAATCTACTATATACTTATAAATATTAAAAACAAATTACCGTAACTGTTAAAACATAAAGAGCAGTGTGTTTCATATTTTCGCGCAAAGCTACACAAGGCCTAGTATTTTAAATTGATAGAGGGAAGGCAGCTAGTCAACATTCACTACGAATTCATGATTTACAGTTTGGACACACTAACGACTATGCCACGCCAGGCCAACCGGAAATGAGACACGAGCTTCAAGTCTAGGGCACGTCACGGTAATAACCAGCCCGGAACTATCGTTTATTTCCGTTAGAGTTACTCACGTGTGCATTTATTATTCCCTTAAATATTTCGAACACTCACGTCGACACAAAACACCTACCTCATGTAACACTTGGAAGTTTGTATCAGTTCAGTAAACACGACATAAGCCGGTTTGTTCACAAACAAACACGATGATGGGTGAATAGTCACTCGTTGTCGAGTATCAAGCTAAGTACGAGAAAAACAAAATTATTATCACCTTTATAATCGTATGTTCTACAATAATAATAAAACAACAGAAATGTGTGTTTTTTCTTATAGCAAAGCCACATTGGACTATCTGCTGTGTCCACCGAGGAGAATCGAACCCCCTGATTTTAACGTTGTAAATCCGTAGACTTACTACCACAATCCCAGCGAAGGAATAACAGAAACCATTTCACAAATATCGATGACGAGGAACCCACTTTGAGACTAATAATGGTTGGAGACGGCTTGAATGGATAATGAAGAAAAACTTTAATATAAGTTTAACATAACAGCAAATGTACAACGTTTCGACGAGGTTTTGTCATCATCAGGTACCTGTTTTCTTCATTACCCATTCAAGCCGTCCCCAACCAATATTTCACAAATATATTTCAATTTTAAACAGTGTGTCAGGTAACGACAATATGTGCAAAACTGATTAGTAAAAATAACGATCATTCATGTAGAAAATCACTGTTCGAACAACGTTTAAAAATAGAAACTATCTACTAAATTTTTCTGGTATTCTATGAATTACAGTTTTTAAAATGTACACATATTTTTTGTTATTTTTGATATATGGAAAAGTAACCAAACCACAGCGTAACTTAAAATTGCGAAATTGAAATAAAGTTTCTAAATATTTTTGTAATTAAAAATCTTTCAATTGGTTTGAAAATATGACATTAATTATTTTTGTATATAGTTTGAGTTATTGTCGTTTTAACGTTAAGCAAGGCGATGGGATTTCTGCGTCCACAGCGTGGGACTGAATACCGGATTTTAGTATTGTAAGTACGTATACTTACCACTAGGGGACATATAGTTTGTGGGAAATCCCTATTCAATACGCAATGTCACTTGGAATTAGTGTAAAAATGTCTGGGCTAAATATATCACAAAAAATACACATAACGATAAATCTAAACATGTCATATCCTTTTCATAAATATACGAAGTAAAATATGGTCGAACAATAAACAGTAATTTACTGTGTTTTGCATTGAACTTCCAGAACTAGAAGAAGGGTAGTATATGTGTGTGTGTATAAATTAGACTTAGAAAAAAATCACCTTTAAAAACTAAGGAAATAATTAATTAACTTGGTGACTTTTCGAGCAAACGCTCTTTTATTTATTATATTTTATAACCTTCGCATTTTTCTACTTATATATATCTTCTGTAACTTGGCTTTTTTTTTTCTGTTTTTGCAATAAAAATAGCTATTTTCCACAAGGGCAAAAAAATCCACCAAGGACTAACTAAGGTTTCTTTTAATCCCACATTAGTTTGTTTATCGTTAAGGGCAAAGTTACATAATGGGCTATCCGTGCTGTCCCCACCAGTATAGAAACCCGGTTTTTAGCGTTATAAGCCTTCAGACTTACCACTGAGACACTGTGGGCACTACAATAATATTTGAGACTTTAATATCGTTTTTTTTGAAGTAATAACAAATAAACTGGTAAAGGTTCCAGATACTACAGAACTCACCATACGGGAAATAGTAATTAGATAAGTTGTTATGGAGCAAGTAAACTAGTTTTGTATGTGAGTGTCATAATACAGATGTGGTAGAAAAAACTATTAATGTGCCTGAAAGGAAACATGCTTTTTAAAAAACAAAAAACATATAACATTTTTTTTTTTATGAAAGTTTGTATCAAAATCGAGAAGTTTGTTTAGAAGGTTTCAGACAGCAAATGAACGAGAACTTTTAAAGTTAAAAACAAAACGTACGACTTTCTGTAATTATGCATTGAAACTCGACAATATTTACACTGCTAAATAATTTATT